CTGGAAAACAGAAGGACCATCTATCAATCTCCTTCAGCAAAGTGTTTCTGTGAGAGCATCTCCGACACGACAAGTACCCTACACCCCTGCCCTGGATCGCCCTCTTGCCAAGGCCGGGTAGTGGTACAAGACCATCCCGTTGTTAGAGTATCTACAGCCGGCGCCTCAAACCGGCCTTAAACGTCTGGCCCGTCCGCCCGATCACCGATCGGTTATGATTTTTTGACCCAGACGGACGCCTCAAACGGGCCTCAGATGTCCGGGCTGACCGGCACCCTCATATCTAGCCCAAAATATAGGATGAATATGCGGTGGCCCGGGCACGCCCGGCCGCGTTGGCCTAACAAGCCCGGCTCACCACCGACTCCATGGTTGTCCCACAAAAAACCCATCCGGCACATCGCTCAGAAATCCTAGCTCACTCACTCTCCGCTCTTGCTCTGTCCTCTCCTCTCCCTGCACCGATTTCGAACGAATTCGGCGCAATGCAGACCTTCGACAGCCGCTCCGACTTCGAGCTGGATCCGGACTATGAGCCTGCCCTCCGCCTCGCCTTGGAGCGATCTAAGGTGCAGACTGAGGGCAGCTCCGGATTTGCAGCCTCACCGGAGAAGCAGCTTCCCCGTAGGCGCCGGCCCCTTCCGGCCCGTGTGCAACCCTGACAGGCGGCCTGCGCAATCCGTGCCTCCCCTACGCCGTCCCCCGCCCTCGTCGGCTGCTGCTCCCCCACGTGGGCAGCAATGGGTGCTTGTGCCCGCCCCGCCGGCCTGGACGCGCATGCCGGAATTAGAGGCGTGCACCGCTTGTTGCGAGCTGCAGCGGGAAAGGGAGAGGAGGGAGGCAGAGCAGTTCGTGCACCGCCACCGCCGTCGCAGATGCAGGCGAAGCCCGACCAGGACGCACAGCTCCTTGAATGGGTCTACCGCCGGCCGCTTACAAGCACGGAGACGGATGTGCGGCGGCTCCACCGGAAAAATGCATCCAAGGCACTCCGGATTGCCATTGAGCAGTCCGAGCGCGAGGCGGCGGAGGCTGCGGCGGAGGCGGCTCGGCTCGCGAAGCTCAAGCGGCAGCAGGACAGGGCGGTTCAGCGGCTAAAAGGGCTCATTATTCTTTCTGACACCTCCGACGACGACTCCTCGCCCGACGACTCGGACGGTCCGCCACCAGCCGCCGACGCCTACAGCTGTGCTGGCGACCGGAAGGATAAAGGGTCGGCGAGGAAGTGGTGAATCTCCGCTAAGGGAGTCCCGGACTAGGGGGTGTCTGGATAGCCGAACTATCATCATCGACCGGACTCCAAGACTATGCAGATACAAGATTGAAGACTTCGTCCCGTGTCCGGATGGGACTTTCCTTGGCGTGGAAGGCAAGCTTGGCGATACGGATATGTAGATCTCCTACCATTGTAACCGACTCTGTGTAACCCTAGCCCTCTCCGGTGTCTATATAAACCGGATGGTTTTAGTCCGTAGAACAACAACAATAACAACAATCATACCATAGGCTAGCTTCTAGGGTTTAGCCTCCTTGATCTCGTGGTAGATCTACTCTTGTAATACCCACATCATCAATATCAATCAAGCAGGACGTAGGGTTTTACCTCCATCAAGAGGGCCCCAACCTGGGTAAAACATCGTGTTCCTTGTCTCCTGTTACCATCCGCCTAGACGCACAGTTCGGGACCCCCTACCCGAGATCCGCCGGTTTTGACACCGACATTGGTGCTTTCATTGAGAGTTCCTCTGTGTCGTCACTGATAGGCTCGATGGCTCCTTCGAGCATCAACAACGACGCGGTCCAGGGTAAGACTTTTCTCCCCGGACAGATCTTCCTATTCGGCGGCTTTGCACTGCGGGCCAATTCGTTTGGCCATCTGGAGCAGATCGAAAGCTACGCCCCTGGCCGTCAGGTCAGATTTGGAAGTCTTAACTTCACGGCTGACGTTCGCGGAGACTTGATCTTCAATGGATTCGAGCCACAGCCGAGCACGCCGCACTGTCACGATGGGCATGATTTAGCTCTGCTGCCGGACAGTGCCCTGGAGGCCGCACACGAGTCTGCTCCGACCCTCGATCCGGAGCCGGCTGTGCAGATCGAGGACGGGTGGTTAGACACCGCCTCAGAGGCTGCAACCTCTACGGCGATAGAGCCGAATACTGACTTTGTCCCTTCTGAAGCTCGTGACTCCAAGGTGCCGGACTCCTTGCCGGACTCCGGACCTCCCGCGCCCCCTCCAATCGAATCCGATTGGGCGCTGATTATGGAGTTCACCGCTGCGGACATCTTTCAGCACTCACCCTTCGGCGACATCCTGAGTTCGCTAAAGTATCTCTCGTTATCAGGAGAGCCCTGGCCGGACTGCGGTCAGGACGGTTGGGATGTGGACGACGAAGAAATTCAAGACCCACCCACCACCCACTTAGTAGCCGCTGTCGACGATCTAACCGACATGCTAGACTTCGACTCCGAAGACATCGACGGTATGGACGACGATGTCGAAGACGACCAAGAACCAGCGCCTACTGGGCACTGGAAAGGCACCTCGTCATACGACATATACATGGTGGATATCCCAAAGGATGGGAATGGCGAAGGAACAGCGGAGGAAGACCCCTCCAAGAAACAGCCCAAGCGCCGGCGTCAGCGGCGCCGCTCTAAATCCCGCCACAGCAAGAATGGCGATTCCGGCACCGGAGATAATAATACCCCAGACAGTGCCGAAGACAACCCCCTCCAGCAAGATTCAGCGCAGGAGGACGGAGATGCCAGCCCTCATGAGAGAGCGGCAGACGAAGAGGTCAAGGATGATAATTACATGCCTTCCTCCGGAGATGAGGCAAGCCTCGACGACGACGAATTTGTCGTGCCTGAGGATCCCATCGAACAAGAGCGTTTTAAACGCAGGCTTATGGCCACGGCAAACAGCCTCAAGAAAAAGCAGCAACAGCTTAGAGCTGATCAGGATCTGCTAGCCGACAGATGGACTGAAGTCCTTGCGGCCGAAGAGCATGAGCTCGAACGCCCCTCCAAAAGCTACCCCAAACGCAAGTTGCTCCCCCGATTAGAGGAGGAGGCATATAAACCTGCATCACCAGAGCACAACACGGCTGACCGGCCACCTCGTGGCCGCGACAGAGAG